GCCTATGGCTTGGACCAGTGTAGCTTGACTGCTGCTTGCTGCCTTCCCTAAGTCTTCCGTGAAGACAGCCCTGGCCAGCAGTTAAGTTGCTGAGTTGTGAGGATCTCAAGCCTGCTCAGAAGTTAAGCACTCCAGGCATAGAATGAGATGGGTTTTCAGAGCACTGGTCCAAGAGAATGCAAATTTATTGAAAGCATTTTCCCCAGGTTTTCCATAATTACCATTTATGTCTCCAGGAACTGTCTCCCCGAACCCAGTTTAGGGTGAAAGCATTTTAAAGACTTTCCCTGCAGATGACATATGAGGTACTAACCTTTTTTCATATGCCCAGATGTTAAGTTCATTTTCATCACATTTATGCAAATTTCATTTGAACAGTAAATCAAAAGAAATCTTAAATCATTGTACACTATTTAAAAATCAACACTAAAGCTGGTTTACTTCCAGTGGTATTAACATAAAGTCACAGTTAATGGACTGAAGGTAGGAAGCGGTAGGAAGCAAATGTCATAGTCCCTTCTTCCATGCAATGGCTACACACAGACCCGACCCGGAGTCTTGGCCATCCATCTGATCACAGTCAGATCCCAGTTTTACTAGATTAAGGGAATTGTGGAAATGAAAGCCTTCTAAAAGTTTTCCAAACTTTGGAAAAACAGAGGCCCCTCAGTCCAGGGGCCTGTCATCCGGCAGAGAAAGTCCGAAGGCTGGGGCTCAGTGGCATACTTCTGGTAGCCGGCTCCCTCCTCTTGGGGATAAAAGTTAATTCCTAGGGCTCCGAGGTCCTGCATTTGTCAGGGAGCTGGACGTCAGCGCTATCATTACCAAGCAAATCAGCCAGGCAGTTAATGGTGGAATCAGGAGACATTTGCACTCCACTATCAGAATGACATCATAACTAAAGCAGCCCTCAGCCAGAAGCCCTAGGCTCTTTCTGAGCAGAGGCCAGAGGGCTGCTGGGGGCGCCCCCCTGCGACTCCCTTGGCTGAAAGCTGAGTCCAAGGCCCCTTCCGAGCACACGGTGGGCCCAGCCCCCAGCATGTTCCCAGGATAGCCCGGCAAACAGGAACTAGGGTTACAGTCTTTCCCCAAGCAATCGACTCCCCCGCCAGGGTCTGCACACTGTAAATAATAATGTATATTTTAATAATCTGAGAGACTGTAAAACCATTTTCTTCATCGGGCAAGAGCTGGCGTTTTACGAATGCAACTACATCTTTGCAGTAAAATGTGTGTCTTTCCGACAGAATTGTCCATCTGTTGGTGACCGGGTCTTCATCAGAAGCTCTGCACCCTCCCTGAGCAATAGAAATAGATGACGCTGGGGGAAGGAGGGCAAGCTAAAGGCAAAGCCCTTCCTGCTCTTGTTTTGGTTGCTTTTCTTTTAAAGCACAGTTGAACACACACACACACACACGCACACACGCACACACACACCCCTTAGAATAATGGGGGAGGCATTTAGCGACAGGCTGCATCCGCGAAGCCGCGCGGCGGCGACGAGCAGCCAGCCCCGCTCGCTAGCTCGCTCGCAGCTCAACTCAGTCTCCACGGCGGCGGCGGCGGCGGCGGCGGCGGTGGCGCGGACCGAAACTCGCCCCCGACCCGAGATGCCCAACTCCACAGCGTGCCGAAGGTCGCCTCTCCAGTCTCGCTACAGGTACCCTGGAGGCCCTAGCACCTCACCTGGCCTGAAAAGTCGGGAGGTAGAGGGGGGGAAAAGTTCTGCGAGCCTCGGGCCGCGCAGCTCGGGGCCGCGCAGCTCGGGACCCCGCAGACGCACTGCCCCCGCCGGCTGGCCGCTCTCACCGAGGCCGGGCTGCCGTGCGCCGCTCCCGGCACCTCGCTCGCCGGCTCTGCGCGCTGACCTCGGGGCACGCTGAGGCCACCGCAGGGCACTTACTTGGCACTTGCTTTTGAGTGCGCAGGTCGTCGCGGTTTTCGCTTGGGTTTTCAAACAAGTTTCGGGCAGAAAGAAGGAGGCAAAAAAAAAAAATCCAATTATGCAAATGGACTCCAGACTGGGAGGCGCGCGTTGGATCTGACGCCGCTACTGTACGAGTCCTCGGAGCAGCCCCGGGCCGGCCAGATTTATGGGGGCGCGTCACGGCTACGCCAGGTCCCGCCGCTGGAGCATCTCGAAGTTAATTAAAGCGATAATGTCCACTTTCCTGGCGACCCTCCGTGTGTGGGTTTACTATTTCGCCGTCAAACGCGACCCGGTCGGGTGCGGGGGCCTCTCCCTACTCCTTGCCTCCTTCCCTCTTCTTGTCCCCCCCTTTCCCCTCTCATGCTCTCCCTTCTTTTTCCGCTCTTTCGTCTTTTTAAGTCGCCTGCCTTCCACTCAGTGAACAATGAACAAAGATGTGAGTGATGGGAAAAGATCGCCCCCTCCCAACCCCAGCGGTGAGCAAAGCCGGTCTTAAAGTAAAAATCCAGTCGCTAATAACAAACTGGGAAAGAAAACTGCGTTCCCAGCCTAGCCTCCCCCTCCACACACAGACACACGCACATACACGCGCGCGCACACATACCCCACCCCAAGTTCACCTAAGCCCTAGCCGGGGACGGGGCGCCAAGGCCTGGGCGCGTGGAGCTGCCCAACTCGCGGGGGACCCAGGGGACACTAGAAACGGGGGGGGGGGCCGCTCACTCGGGCCAAGATCGCTTCCCGCGCCCCTCCCCGTCTGCTCTCCCCTTCAGCCCCCTCCCAAGCGTCTGCAAACGACCAACCCGGCCCGGCGGCCCGCTCGGGCTACTGGGCGGCCGGATGCGCTCAGCAAACGCGGCCCCTGTCGGATTTCTGCTAAACTGCACAGCGGCGAAAGCAGCCGCGGCCGCCGGGAGAAGGCGCAGGAGCAGCCCGAGGCCGGCCCCGCGCGCGCACTCACCCCGCCCGACACGCTCGCCCCTGGCCGCTGCCCCGCCGGCCGCCGCTCCCGCCCGCGCGCACATGGAGGCCCCGGACGCACCCGGAGCGCGAGCCCGCAGGCCAGGACGGCGCGCAGCCGCTGTGTTTTCTGCTAAAGTGAAAACTGAGGCGGCTGACAAATCACGTCTCCGGCGAGGCACCCGTTAGACATAACAATATCCGGCAAACAAAACCCGGCCACTGCTGCAACCGGCGCGCGGGGCTGGGACCCCGCCCTGCTCCCCCTGGGCCCCCAGGCCCTCGCTACTGCCTGGGTCAACCCCAACCCTCCCGGTTCTCCACCTAACTCGGGGATCGTGTACAAGCTCGCCGAGAGAGACGGACAGACGAAGGACTCACAACACAGGAGTGAAACGGCGGGCGGGAGGGGGTAACTTTCCACCTGTGCCCAAAGAAAGCCCCGCAAGTTTCCTCAGCAGAGTTAAGGGAAGCGGGGAACACAGTTCTCTTCCCGCCCCATCCCCTACTCTTTCTTTTTTCTAACTTCCCAGGCTTCTGCTTTCCCACCTTCCCTCACTTCTCATACATCCATCTACACAGAGATATCTATATTTCAAATTATTTGCAAAGCTGCAACAGATGGGCGCATTGAGATCTGGACACTCTCCTACTCATGGAAGAAAAGATCCCCCCTTTATTTTTATTTTATTTTTATTTATGCCTAAAATACATCCCGACTCCCGCCTACGACTGTTTTCTTTAATTCATCTTCAAAAAATAATGTCTCGAAGCCAACAGCAAGGCTTATTAACAACGACCATTCTCGCCCCAGTCTCACGCCTAGGCGGAAGGGGGGTGCGTTCCCCAAATCGCACTCTTCCCAGACGCCCGCACCCCTTCCTTCTGCCCGCCTTCCTCAGCCCCCCACGGCCGCACTTCCTCACTCTGATTGGCCTCATTTCTCCACCCCCGGACTGGCCGTCTCAGTTCCTTCCATAACCTGTTACTTATTTATTTTATTTATTTATTTATTTGTTTGTCTGTTTATTTATTTTAGGCTTTGCTCCCCTCCCCGCCCCCACGCACACCCTTGTCGCCAGGGCCGGGGCCGCCAGGATAGCAGCCGCGGGCACTGCCCGAGTTCTCAGGCTCCGTGGCCTTTGCTGGGGTCGCGGGTTCGGACCCCCGTGCACCTCGGCCTGAGCCTCGGCCTCGCCGGCTCCCGGGGCGCAGGAGGCCGATGAAGGCACAAAATGGCAGGTCTCAGCGGCCCGCAAGTTTGACACACTGTAAGCATCAGCTAACTTTGATTAAAAAGAAGAAAGAAAGGAAAAAAAAGGTTACAAATTACCCTCCGTCTCCAAGGCAGAGGGGCCAGGATCCCACAGCGAGCCGCCGCGAGGGGCAAAGGAGAGCGAGGGGACCCCCAGCCCCAGCAGAAAAGAAAATGGGGAAAGTCACTTGAGCAGAAGTTTCCGCCGCCCCAGCCTCCCGCTCCCCAGGCGACGCCCCCCGCCCCACCCCCAGACCCTTTTGAAAGTTTCCCGGGGCCTGAGCGCGGCTGGCGGGGCGCGCGCGGGCGGGGGCGCAGGCCGGGCCGGGGCTGGGCTCGGGGTCCTCGCCGGCGCGCGCAGCGTGAGGCCCGGAGACTCCTCTTCAAAGTAACGGTCCCGGGACCGCGGGCGGGGGCGCGGCGGCCCAGACGTGGGTCCGCTCGCCGCGGAAGTTCTCTAGCGCCATTCGATGCCCGGCCGCCGCCGCTTGCCCCGTTTTTTTTCCTTCTCTTTTTTACCCCCGCTGACAGCTTCTCTCGCCAACGTCACAGCCACGGATATTTAATTAGACTGTATTTTTTTAATCGCGATGGGGCGAGAAGGAACCGGGCGGCAGGCCTTGCTGAGACGGGGAGGGGGAGGGGACGGGGTCCACGCCAAGAGTCCAAACTCACTTTGCCACCTACCGGACGCCGGGGCCGCCCCCCCC